AAAACCATCATGTCATGTGTGTGTGTATGTATGTATATATTTTAAGTTGATTCTGGTAGCAAAGTAAATCTAGACCTTGTTATTCTACCTTGGTGGAAATGAAAGTCCCTTATCAACTTTATGAATCTTTATAAAGAACCAACCTCACTTGTTGAATTTTGCTACTATATATGTGGCTACTTTGCTGAATTCTCTTAGTTTTATTACCTCCTTTTTCAGATTTAGTTCTTCTTTTTCTAGATACTTAAATTGTTAATATTCCATCTTTGATCTATTCTAGTTCATGCATTTAAGGCTAATACTTTAATTGCATTCTACAAGTCCTGATATTTCATATTTTTGCTTTGTATCAATTCATAGTATTATCTAACTTCTATTATAATTCTTCCTTGACCCCTGGGTTATTTATAACTATATTGGTAAATTGGCAAACTTGGTGAATTTTTCTGATTATCGATTTGCTACTATTTCTACCTTAATTCTACTTTTTTGGGAAATATATACTGTAGGATGTTGGTCTTCCAAAATTTACTGAGACTTCCTTTATGGTCTAGCATTAACTGTATTACATGATCAATTTTGGTAAATATTCTACATGTACTTAAAATATGTATATTCTGGCCCTGGCCGGTCTGGCTCAGAGGTAGAGTGTCAGCCCGTGGACCAATGAGTCCCGGGTTCGATTCTGGCCAAGGGCATGTATCTCAGTTGTGGTTCGTCCTCGGCCCTGGTCAGGGTTGTGCAGGAGGCAACCAGTTGATGTGTCCCTCTCACGTCAGTGTTCCTCTCTCTCCCCCACTCTATCTGAAGATAAATAGAAAAAATATCCTCAGGTGAGGATTAAAAAAATATATGTGTGTGTGTGTATTTACATTCTGCAACTGTCAGGTATAACATTCTCTATGTATCAAGTGGGTCAAATTCTCTAATTTTGTGGTTCAAATATTATGTACCTTAAATCATATTTGATTTGCTGTGTTTTGATTTTGATCCGCTTCTTCTATGAATTTAGAGAGATATATTCAAATCTACCTCTTTGGTGAAGAATTTGTCCATTTCTCCTTTTAGTTCTGTCAACTTTTGAGGCTATTACTAGCATTGTTAAAATTTCTTATTGAAATGATCCTTTTTCATAATACATGTTTTTTGCAATGTATTGCCCTTTCATTTAAAATATATCTCTTATAAGCAGCACATAATTGGATTTTTTCTCGTCCAGTCTTATAATCTTTGGCTTTTAAATGAAATATTTAGTGCATTTGCATTTAATGTATTTATTAACATAATTAGATTTAAATATTATTTGTTTTCCTGTGTTTCCATGTCTTTGTTAATTTTTTTTTTTACCTTTCTTGCCTGTTTTTGAATTAACCAAGAATTTATTATTTTTCCTTACTTGCTATATATTCTTTTACTTTTCCTATAGTAAATTAGAGCAGTGGTTCATAAGGTATGGAACTCAGACCAGAAACATAACCAGTATCTAAAAGCTTGTTAGAAATGTAAATTTTAAGAACCCAATCCAGACCTACTAAATCAGAAATTCTTAGAGCAGGGGTGGGGTGACTGGGTCAGGCAACAATATAGGCTTTTAGTTTTGGTTTTTAAAATCCTCACCCGAGGATTTTTTCCTTTTATTTTCAGACAGGGAGGGAGGGAGGGAAAGAGAAAGAGAAATATCAATGTGAGAGAGACATCGATTGGTTGCCTCCCGCATGACTCCAAGGACAGGGACCGAACCGCAACCGAGTTAAGTGCCCTTGACCGGAATGGAACCCGAGACTCTTTGGTCCTCAGGCGGACACTCTAACCACTGAGCCAAACCAGCCAGGGCAACCATATGGGTTTTAACAGCCCTATTAATAATTCTGATGTATGCTGCAGCATTAAGAACAACTTCTCTAGATTTAACAACATGTCCTAAACTTAGCAGTTTTACCACTTCCCATGCAATACAAACATTAACTACATATATTTTCTCCTGCCTTATACTAGTACTGTCATGTATTTTACCTTCTACAGCATTTTAGACTTGAAGGGATTGTGTTTATATAACGGCACTGTTACGGTTTGAAACACTCAAGACATTAGATTTACTGATATATATATACTCTTTTTGTGTTCTTCATTCTTTCCTGCACAAGATAATTTTCCTTCTGTCTGAAAAATTAACCTCCCTTTAATCTTTTAATACTGGTGTACTAGTAACATATTCTCTCAGATTTTGTTTTTGTAAAAACCTACTTTGTTGAGCTCTGACTGGTTTGGCTCAGAGGTTAGAGCGTTGGCCCGTGGACCAAAGAGTCTCGGATTCAATTCTGGACAAAGGCACATACCTCAGTTGCCGTTTGGTCCCTGACCCTGGTTGGGGTTGTGTGGGAGGCAACCAATCGATGTGTTTCTCTCATGTCGATGTTTCTTTCCCCCCGGCCCCCATCTGAAGATAAATAGAAAAATATCTTTGGGTGAGGATTAAAAAAAAAATTACTTAATTGACCATTTTTCACAGATATTTTAACTGTAGAATTCTGGATTGGCAGGTATTTCCTTTCAGCACTTCAAAATTTTCATTCTGGTGTCTGATTTACTGTTGCTCCTTTGAAGTTGTGTTTTTATCCTCTGATTTAAAAATTTTTTCTTTATCTTTGTTTTATAGCAGTTTGATTTTGATTTGCCTAATAAGGTTTTCTTTTCATTAATCCTGCTTGGGGTTCTCAGAACTTTCTTGAATCTGTATTTCAGTTTAAAAAAATTAAAACATTGTGCCCTGGTAAAATAAAAAAAAATAAAATTCCTCATGTAAAAAAAAAGAACAACATTGTGCCCTGGCCAGTTTGGCTCAGCAGTTACAATGTTGGCCCACGGACCAATGAGACCTGGGTTTGATTCTGGCCAAGGGCATGTACCTCAGTTGCGGTTCTTCCCCGGCCCTGGTTGGGGTCATGCGGAAGGCAACCAGTCGATGTCTCTCTCTCACATTAATGTTTCTCTCTGTCTCTCTATCTCTCTGTCTCTCTGTCTCTCTCCCCCTCCCTCCTAATCTGTCTAAAGATAAGTGGAAACATATCCTCAGGTGAGGATACAAATAATTTTTTTAAACATTGTGCCCTGGCCGGTTTAGCTCTGCACTTAGAGCATCAGCCCACAGACCAAAGGGTCATGGGTTCAATTTCCGGTCAAGGGCACATGCCTGGGTTAAGTATGATCCCCAGTCCTGGTAGGGGTCATGTGGGAGGCAGCCAATCGATGTTTCTCTCTTTCTCCCTTCCACTCTATCTAAAAATCAATGGAAGAATATCCTCAGGTAAGGATTAACAACAACACCAAAATTAAAGCATTGCTTCTCCTCTATTCCTTTTTACTGCCAAATTTGTTAGACCTTCCCCCACATCCCATTTCTCTCTTAAGCTTTTCTGAATTTTCCATTGTTCTTTTTTCTATATTTGTGTTTCGATCTGTGTATTTTCCATTGATCTATCTTGCAGTTCACTAATCTCTCATCTAATGTGTCTAATCTGTTAAACCCATCTATTGACAGGCCTCACTATGCCCTACTTGGACTACTGCAAAGACTAGTATTGGATATTTCTGATTCCAACCCACTTGCTTTACCAGACATTCTCAAGTCTAGCTGGGCATCATTAGTGATGATGTTTTAAAGTACAGATTCCTGGGCCTTATCCCCAAGGATAAAGTAACTTATTTGATAGGTCTATAATGGAATCTGGGAATTACATCCCTTACACACACACACACACGATTCTGATTAAATCATTCCACAGATTGTATTTGGAAAAAAATCATTACATGTCAGCTACCAGTTTCCTTTCTAAATTGGAAATCTGATTAGTCACTCTGATTATAATATCTTCTGTTTATTCATTATCTTCCTGTAAACAAAAATTCCTATGTATACTATATTAGTGCAATTGTGTATATGTTTGCGTTTGTGTGTGTCATAAGCAAGTAGAACAGTGAGAGACAAAGATAAAGCAAGAGCAAGTGAAAGCAACAAAGACAGAAGGAGAGGGTAAAAGCAAGGAAAAAAGAGAGTATGAGCATGAGTGTGAGAAATGTATAGCTGCAAGGTGCTTATGGTCTAGTAAGGGAGGAAATAGTTGTATACATAGGACTGAGTGATTTTATGAACCTCCCGGAGCCTTTTTAGGGTTTTGAGACACAAGATTTAAGAAATTACCTTGTGCCCTGGCCGGTTTGACTCGGCGGTTAGAGATTCAGCCTGTGGACCGGAGAATCCCGGGTTCGGTTTCCACTAAGGGCACATACCTCGGTTGCAGTTTGTCTCCGGCCCCGGTTGGGATCGTGTGGGTGGCAACCACTCGATGTGTCTCTCTCACATCGATATGTCTCTCTCTCTCTCACTTCCTCCTTCTCTCCCTCCCACTCTATCTGAAGATAAATGCAAAAAAAAAAAAAAAAATTACCTTGTAAAGAAAAGAAGAGACGTATGTATCCCACTAGGCAGCTAAATAGTTGGCACAAAGTTTTGACTTGTTTCAAAAAAAGAAAAATGCAGCAAACTGCCACATACTATTTCTGGGTATGTCACTAGACTTGAACATCTTAAAACAAGTTGACTACTGTTCAATGAACTCTATGAGTTTTCCCAAATTATTGAGTTTGATTCTGTTGACTCTCTGGAAATTTGATAATTTTTTTCCCATATATTTAGAGGAATGATTTTGAAACAAATTGATACAATAAAATGCTGACTCCAAAAGTCTATCAATGAGAACTGGTGGGTCAAGAATTTAATATAGAACTTCCCAATAAGCTTCTTCAATTTCTCCAGAGAAGTATTTTTTTCTAGTTTGTGTATACCTCAGAACACTGTAGATTTAGCTTTCAAGCTGCCATATATGGGCTAGCCAAATTTATATAATCTTTAAATTCAACCATATAGAACTCTATTGTTATTATAAAGGCAAATTAAATGTATTACTCAATGACATTTCAAGTGTTTTAAAAAATGTAATTACTTTGTTAGTCACAGTGTTGATTGCCAGAGTTGGAGAGGCACTTCCCGAAATAATACACTCCATTCCCAAAGAATCTGAATCTATGCTATATGGAGTTGAGGCCTAAAATATAAGAACAAAATAAATAATTATTAGCTCATATATCCAGCAACTTTTAACACAATTTGAAGGTATTTCATCAAATTCCCCATCATTTAATTTTGCACTTTGTTTCTGAAAATGAACTTAAATCACTGGGAACACTGGAAAGACAACATTAGAAGGAACATGGACATCTGAATGACCTTGTGGAACAGAGCTGGTTATCCATCCCATCCATTATGAGCTCGAACTTTTATCTGAGAAAAATAAATCTCTCTAGTTTAGGCCTCTCAGTTGTTTTTTTCTTCCTCTGTCTATTAGTGCAACTGAACGATATACTAAATAATGCAACGTTATAAACAGTGTAATAATGCACTATTTATAAAGCCAGCATAGATGTGAAAATCAATATAGATGGTTTTGTACATTTAGAATTTGGATATTGTGACAATTTCTCTCTCTCTCTCTCTCTCTCCCTCCCTCCCTCCCTCCCTCCCTCTCTCTCTCTCTCATAAGAGACCATTTTTACTGCTTTGGTGAGTCTTCAAGAAAGTTTAACTTCAATGCTGAAAGTTAAAGATGGGCAGATATAAACAATATATGGCTATGATGTTAGCTGTGTACATTCCCTCTCTGGCAAAAAATATTTGTCCCACACATGATCCCAACTGAACATTTATTTTTAAGGATCATATTGAATGAGAAAGAGCAATTTCACTGAGACACATTTCTAAGATTAATCTATTTATCACTTAATTCTTCAACCTAAGTTTTTTTTTTAATCTGGTAATCTACAAGGATAGGGAACAGGCATCTTGATTGAAATAAAAAACGGAAAAGACAAGGGTCATCCCTAGAAGGTAGAATCTAGCACTTGGGTGCTGGGTACACATTGAGAATGAGGTGAAAATACAAAAGGACTTCAGAAATACAAGTGGAAGAACTACAGAGTCTGTGCTTCAATTTGGTATAGCTAAAGTAACACAAGATTACTTTAGAAAGCTACAAATCTCATGTTCCTCTACTTCAACTCAGTCATCGCAGTACAGACTACTGTTTCACTATTTCATTCTCACTAATTCCTACTGGTAAGAAGAGGCCAACCTGTGTTGTGTGATTTCATGCAAATTACTCAACCTTTAGTATTTACTGAGACTCGTTTTGTAGCTCAACATGTGCTATATCTTGGTGACTGTGTGCACTTGAAAAGAATAGGCATTCTATAGTTTTTTAGTAGTGTTCTCTAATATCAATTAGATCAAGGCATTTCATAATGTATTCCAATGTTCTTTACTGATTTTTATCAGCTTTTGCTTCATGTATTTGAAGCTCTGTTAGTCACATTCACATTTATATTTGGTATTTCTTCAATTATTCCTTTATCAAATGTTTTTAAAATTTCTGATATACTGTCTTAAAAGTCTGTTTTATCTTATATTAATATAGTCATTGCACCCTTACGCTTACTGTTAGCATGGCATATATATTTCCATGCATTACTTTCAACTCATCTGTGTCTGTGTATTTGAAGCCATGACTCTTTTAGACCACATTTAGCTAAATCTTGCTTTTTCTGTGTCTCTGACAATCTCTGCCTTTTTATTGGCGTGTTTAGACCATAATATTAGTTCAACTGTTGGTACTGTTAGATTTAGATCTAAATTGTTTTGTTTTACCTCTATTTTTTTAGTTCCTTTATTCCACTCTTTTAGATTAGATATATTTTAGTATTCTAAATTACCTATTGGCTTTTTAGGTATACCACAAACTAGGTTTACTTGAGAATGTGCTCAATCTGAAAAAAGGCATCTACAAAAGCTCTACAGCTTATGTCATACTTAGGGGTGAAAGACTAAACACTTTCTCCTTAAGAATGAAAAAAGAGCCCTGGCCAGTTTGGCTCAGCGGTTAGAGCGTCGGCCTGCGGTCCGGAGAGACCCGGGTTCGGTTCCCGCTAAGGGCACGTACTTTGGTTGCAGTTTGTCCCCGGCCCTGGTTGGTCGTGCGGGTGGCAGCCACTCGATGTGTCCCTTCACATCGATGTTTCTCTCTCTCTCTCCCTTCCTCTCTCTCCCTCCCACTCTATCTGTACAAAAAATGGAAAAATATCCTCGGGTGAGAAAAACAAAAACAAAAACAAAAGAATGAAAACAGACAAAGATGCCTACTTCACCACTCCTATTCAACCCTGTACTGGAGATTCTAGTCACTGCAATAAAGTAGGAGGCCAGGGCAGAGGAGGGGAAGGAACAGGAAAACTGTCTATTTGCAGATGACATCATTGTTTATACAAAAAAATCCCAAGGTATCTTCAAAACAATTTAGAACTAACAAGATTATAGGATACAAGGTTAATAAACAAACATTAATTATATTTTTATATACTAGCAGCAAACAACTGGAAAATGGATTTTAGAAAGAGTATATAGCATCCAAAAACAAAATATTCAGGATTAAATTTAACTGGAAACATCCAAGTCCTCTACACTGAAAACTTAAAAAATATATATTCCCAAGAGGAATCAAAGACTTAATGAATAGAGAAAGAGTATGTTTTCATAGCTTGGAATAATCAATATTGTTAAGATACCAGTTCTCCTCAGATGAGGGTTGCCTGGGGATGAGAATGGAAGGAAGCATGAATTACAAAGGGACGTGAGGAAACATAAGGGAGTGATGGAGATGTTTATGTGACACTGGTGATAATTTCACATGTCAAAAACTCTTCAAATTATAAACTTTAAATATTCAATTAACTGTACATAAACTATCTCTCAAGTACTGTTACAAAAGAAAAAAAACTATATCCTACCCATTCACCCCTCATGAAATACTTCCTGATCTACCTCTCTAATTAAATAGGATTTGTTCAACTTTAAAATTCCCAGAAAATTCTATTTACACATATCTCTCAGAGGCAACATGTAGTGCTTCCCACATAATGTACACCCAGTATATGTTTGCCAAACTGAAGTAAATGCTTTTTCAACTCTGAGTTCTAAGAGTAGGAATGTAGACTGCATTCCTTCCTTTGCTCACTCACACCTTTATCACTCAGCCTCAGAGAAGGAAGGCACATAGTGGGGCCATCACTTACTCCACAAAACCACTCTGTGTAACAGTGGAAGAAACTGAGACACAAATAGCACAAAGACAACAATCTGCAGAGTATCCTTCCTAGAAGAATGTCTTCTTTTCTATTTACCCATTCACCCTCCAGTTATCTTCCTGATTAAACTTGTAATCATCTCTGAACTATAATGCACAATTTAGCTCTTAACTAAAAGAAAAAATAATGTGTATTCTGCCATCTTTGTTCCAAATAAAAGCTGGATAATTGCAGAATATGTGTTTTTTGCAGAGGCCAGTATATTTAGGATAATGAGTTTATAGAGCTATCTGGCCTTTACTCCATCAAATAATTTCTGCACAATTCATTAGAAGATTTAAGCAAAACTATCCACAGCAATTTCCTCTTCATCTCCCTGCTTCTGCCTTTTTACAGCTTACACTCCACACAGCAGCTAAAGTAATCTTGTTAAAATGTAAGTCATGCCCTGGCTGGTTTTGCTCAGCAGTAGAGCATCGGCCTGTGGACCAATGAGTACCGGGTTCGATTCTAGCCAAGGGCATGGACTTCAGTTGTGGTTTGTCCCCGGCCCTGGTCAAGGTCATGCAGGAGTCAACCAGTCAGTGTGTCCCTCTCATGTCGATGTTTCTCTCTCTCTCCCTGTCTTTCCCTCTCTCTCTACCTGAAGATAGAAAAATATCCTCGAGTGAAGATTAAATATATATATACATACATATATATATATATATATATATAAATGTGTGTGTGTGTGTATATATATACATAAATCACATTATGTCACTGCTTTGTTTATATCCCTCCAATGGCTTTCCACCTCCCTCAAAATAAAACCCAAGTCTTTACAAAGGCATACAAGACCCTACACAATCTTCCTGCTCTTACCACTTACTTCTCTAACATCAAGTCCTACTACTCTTCCCTCCTCACACACACTAGTCTATCCATAGTGGCCTCCTGCTATTCCTCATGCCAAGTAAGTTTCTACCTCAGGGTCTTTGTACTTGTGGGATTTCAGAAGGGAGATCCTCTCCCAGGCCTATACAGCTGACAATCCACTTATATTTATATATAAACTATGACCTCATAATAGAACTATGGCCAGAAAAATTAAACATCTAAGTTATAACAAATAACTTTAAAACTAGGTCTCCTAACTTCCAGGCTATTAGTAGTTCCTCTAAATCTTGTACTTAAAAGTGATACCTTATGACTTTGTAACATGACTTGGTTTTCCTCATAATTTGACTATGTTCTTAAACTAACAGAGGAACTTCAGATCATTAAATGCTGGTAAAATATAATACTATCTAAAGAGTTGGGTTTTTGTTTTGGGGTGTTTTTTTTTAGAATTTTCTTTTCCTACCACCCCATCCTCACCACTGTTCAGAAATTTTACATTTCTAGCAGGGGCATTATTTTCTATTTACAATTCTTTCAAAGCACTTTACCTGTGATGAACATACAACAGAAACAGTAAATATGAGACTTTGAAACCCATAAGCAGCAGTTACATACAGCCTTTTCAACTACTTCCTTAACAGTAATAAATTTGTCCAATTGTTATTTTAAAACTTTAATGAGGCAAAAAGGGGGGGGGGGCACACTTTAAATGAGGCACTTAGGCAAACACTAAGCAGTGACCAAAAAGAGGTCTTTGAATTACAAGAAATGATATACTCCAAAAAATGTACCTTCAGTCTACTAATTTAAGAACAGCAATGCCCATACACACCTTGAAAAGACAAAAGGTGTCTTTGCATTGGCTCTGTGCAGGGCAGGCCAAAAGTACAGAAAAGCTAATGTCCCTAGCAGCATCACTCGCTTAATAATAAGTAAGAGTTGATAAATATACCAGCTCATTGCCCCACAGTTCTAAACTGCCTCCGAGAGTTTCCAGTGGGGCTGAGCTCCAGTGCTCACAGTGGTAATT